ACCACTAAGAAGAATATATGCAGTGTATTATTTGTTGAAACTGTCCTTCCGATTTGATTTGAAACTGTCTCATTGCTATCTGTTTGTCAATAAAACTTTGAAAAAAAAAAAAAAAAAAAGTTCAAACACCTGTCACTGTCTCGGTTAATTTTTTACTCATCGCTGGGACAAAATACCCAATACCAAAAATAAGAAAGAAAAGGTTTACTTAGCTCACACTTTGTGGAGGTTTCAGTCCAAACTCAGCTGGCTCCATGGCAGGGTGGCACAAGGCAACAGTCCATGGAGGTGGAAAACAGCAGACAGCAAAGGGAGGAGCAGCGGCCGTGGGAGCTTTCAGAAAGCCTTGCTTGCTTCCTCATATTGTATGCACATTATCAGTCCCAGGGTGGGTACAGTACTACACCCATAACCCAAGCATTGGATCATTAATCACGAAGTCTAGAAGCTGCCCCATGACTGGATGAGGCTTTAGAGGACACCTCGGTATGAACCACAACAGTCAGCTTTCCAAAAAATAAAGAATAATTTATAACCTGAAGGTTTCTAGGCATTTACATGTTCTTGCTTGCACTTTTGACAAATATCATAAATGTAAATACTATGTAAACTTGTGATTACAGCATTCTGTAGTATGTAACACCAGTCTCACCTTGGATAAGACTCATTTACTCCTCATATTAATTTCATGAAATGGAACACATTTTACAATTTGGTTAAATTTACCACAGCATTACATTTGTAAGAGTTCTTTACAGCAAAAATTCTTTGGTGAATCCTAAGGACACATCTTTTAAAATGAACTTTGCATCTTTGGAAACTCTGTAGCCCAGGCCGGATTCAAACTTAAGTCTACCTTTCTGCCTTAGCCTGGCAAATGCTGGGGTTACAGGCATGTACCATGCCTGGCAAAAATGACCTTTCCAAGCTCATTGTATTGGTCTGGTTTCACTTCAGAACAAATCATTTTATGACAACAAAATTAACACTTGATGACTGACTGTATTCATTTTAAGGTTACTTTCCACTTTATTTTATTCCACTTCAATAGTTTTGATGCTTGGATAAAAGCCTTAGTACATCCACTACTTCTGTATGGCTTCCTCAAAGATATGAAACTTGATACTTTTTAAGCCTTAAGGCTTACAAGTCTGTTGTAGTTTTCTTTATTGCTCTACAGTATGGATTGGATATTGATTATTGCTTGACTTCTATGAAGATTTTGCTACTTTCATCTGTAAGGTATCACTCATGTGCAAATTCTCCAGAATTAAGCAAACTGTAATACAGTTTGCATATATTCCTATGGTTACTCTTCGGTATAGGTTATGTGAAATATGCTAGTGCAAGGAGTGAATACCAGATTTGCCAAACTGATTTTTTTCCAGGTTTTTCTTGAGGATATATTGTCAGATGTGTTCTGAGGCCTGAAAACATACTGAAAGACCTGACACTCCCATCCCAGTTGTGAGGTTTTCTTCCAGTTTGAATTTTTTGAACACTAAGGTCAGATTTTCACCCTCAGGCATTGCTACACTGGCAAGGTTTGTATCTACTATGCATTAGCTTTTGTCTAGCTGTGTTAAATAACTCTAGCCTCGCCTCATTTTGTTCTACATAAAAATTTATCTTCCTACTGGGAAGTGGCCAATGTTTTCTAAGGCTCCAACAGTGCCTGATGACTACTGGCCTCATTCACTTATTAGATTGCTCTCCAGGTAGGTATCTCCAATGAAATCCAAGCTAGCTTGTCACAAAAGCCCTTACCACTTTTCTCCAGTATGCTATGTGTTAAAGAGCTTAGTTGGACTTACACACAAACAGCTTTGCTAACTCATGGATTTTAAGATTTTTCAACTCCTTTATGTATTTAGTAGAGGGTCTACAGGGTCTCACTACAGATTGGACTCATAGTGACCCTCCTGTTTTTAGCCTCCCAAGTGCTGGGATTACAGGTGCGCACTACCACCCATCTCACTAGCCACCTCAGGGCACCCCTGGGGCGGGGCCAGCATGGTACACCAGGAATTGAAGCCCAGTCCCTGTGTCTGCCTAAGCAGGTGCTTTAGTCCACTGAGCTACCTGGTTGGCCCTTCTCACTCTTTATGAATGCACTGGCGCCTAAGTGTCAAATCTGACTCAAAATCTTGACAAATTCATTAAGGTTTCACTCAAGTATGAAATTTCAGAAGATGGCCTAGGGATGATTTGAGATTGAACACCTTGCCATATTCATTACATTTCTAAGATTTCTCTCTAGTATGAATTGTCAAATGTTTTGCAAGGTCTGAATGGCAACTGAACACTTTACCACATTCATTACATTTGTAAAGTTGTTTTCCAGTGTGCACTGCTTGATGGTTTGCTAGAAGTGACCTGCGACTGTACACTTTACCACATTCATTACATTTGTACGGTTTCTCTCCAGTATGGATTCTCTTATGCTGTGCTAGAGAAGCCCTATGACGGAACACTTTACCACATTCACTGCATTTGTAAGGTTTATCTCCAGTATGGATTCTCTGATGATTTTCAAGGTATGATTTCTGCCTGAAGCCCTTGCCACACTCACTACACAAATAAGGCTTTTCTCCAGCATGAATTATTAGATGCTGTGTAAGGTAGCAATTGTGACTAAAGACCTGGCCACATTCATTGCACTGGAAATGTTTCTCCCCAGAATGGATTCTATGATGATTGGTGAGGTGTGACTTGTGACTGAAAACCTTCCCACATTCACTACACTTGTAATTCTCTCCAGAATGCATTCTCTGATGATTTGCTAGGTTTGACTTTTGACTGAAGACCTTCCCACATTCATTACATTTGTAGTTCTCTCCAGAATGGATTCTCTGATGATTTGCTAGGTATGACTTGAGACTGAAGACCTTGCCACATTCATTACACTTGTAAGGTTTCTCACCAGTATGAATGGTCTGATGACGTATAAAGTTTGATTTCTGATTGAAGACTTTGCCACAGTCATTACACTTGAAAGGTTTCTCTCCAGTATGGATTCTTTGATGGTTTGCTAAGTATGACTTTTTACTGAAGACTTTTCCACATTCATTACATTTGTAAGGCTTTTCTCCAGTATGCATTCTCTGATGATTTCTAAAGTTTGTTGTCTTATTGAAGACCTTTCCACATGTATCACATAAAAATTGTTTCTTTGCAGCATGGACTACCTGATGCGTAGTAAAACATGAACCTTGGTTAAAAGATTTCATACACTCATTCCATTTGTTCTTTTCACTGTCAAGTACCTGCAGTTCAGGCAGATGTGATTTAAAGCTTATTCCAAACCAATTTTTAATATGTTTCTGTCGTGTATTCTTTCTACCATGTTCATCACTTCTATCAGTGAGATTTTCTTTCTGTTTCACACAGAATCCTGTGTCAAGTCTTCCATCTGCTGTGCACTGACAGTCAAAGTCATGTATATCTGCCTGGATTTCTCTGAAGAACAATTCCTGAATATCATGAATTTTGTGTGCTTCCAACATTACCAATTGGAACATTTCTCCTGTATCTCTTTTCCTTTTTGGTGGCAATTCTTTTATCATACATTTAGGAGAAGAATCTGTGAAATATAAGAAATCATCAGTTCTGATTAATTATAAGTGGTAAATGAATTTTGTTACACGTGTTTATATCAAAAGAAATAATTATAATTGAGCAGTTATGAAATGTCATGATTTATACTTTTTAGGAAAACAACTGAAGAAATGCTGATTTTCCAACATGTTGTGACCAGGGTCAGCCAGATACCTCAGTGGATTAAAGTGCCTGCTTAAGCAGGCGCAGGGGCTGGGAGTTGCCAGTCCTGCCCCCAGTGCACTCTGAGATGGCGAATGAGATTGGGTGTGGTGGCATGCACCTGTAATGCCAGCACTTGAGAGGCTAAAAAACAGGAAGGATCACTACAAGTTTGATCTGTGTAGTGAGACTCTATAGACCTTGTATTAGATACATAAAAAACATTGCGACTAAAACACTACACTTTTTTTTTTTGTTTTTGGTACCAGGGGTCAAACTTGGATCCTTGCGCTTGCCAGGCTCATGCCACTGAGCTCTATGCCTGGCCAACTACATTTCAAAGTTAATTGAACGGGTACTTTGATCACAGAATTTGCATTGACCAAACTGGCAACATACATCTTTGTATCAAAGTATACTGGTCCATGGTATCTAATGAAAGACTGAGGTAAGAGACACAAAATGGAGCCTCTCATCATTATAAGGATAGCAGTTTGATCAGTTTTATTAAATAAAGGAATTTTTAAATATACTATAACATATTTCTTCTTCTTCTCTTTTTTTTTTTTAACCAGGAATCAAACTCAAGACTATGTGCTTGCCAGGCAGGTGCTGTGCTTCTGAACTATATCCCCAGCCCTAGTAGCTATTATTCTTAACTATTTCACAGCAGTATTTTGTAAAATCCTTAAAGTTAATATTAGTTTTCAATTATGATAGCAAGCTGGTGCCATTTATTTTCTAACTCTAATTTATATAGACTAGGGGACAACAGGATTTGATTGTTGGTCTGTAGTCTCAGTCTACATGTTCCCAATGATATCTATTCATACAGGCAGCACATAATATAACAAGTTACAGCAACTACAAGAAGTATAAAAAGTAATATTTCAAAGGAAACAGCATAGCTTCACTTTGCTTCATTGTACAGTGTCACTGAGCCATCGTTCACTGACAATGTTATCTGTCATCACCACTGCACACACGAATTTAGGTAATGTCCTGAGAACAGCTAAAGGTTGAGAAGATGTCTTTCCTTTCACTGTGAGGTTAGTGTGGGAGTCCTCTGCAAATCTGAGTGCACAGAAGAACCACATGAGAGAAAGCCAGCATGGATCAGACGAGCATGGAGGGCAGGGAGTAACAAGCACAAGAGCGCAGTCCAGGCCTGTAAGTCTGTGAACTGTACTACACAAGGGGAGTTAATACTCTTTTGTGAAAAAGAGAAACAGATGGAGCAAGTGACACAAAAGTGTTCATTCTTTAACTATGGCAAAGAGAGTTCAGTTATGGGGAGAATGGAAGAGGGTTAGCCAGGCAGTAGTATAATAGTGGGTAAGGAAGCAGTTGTTTCTGACATTAAGACAGGATTAATAAAACATAAAACAATATCATGAAGATATCAAAATACCAAATTTAAAACAAATTTAACACACAAAGTGTACTTTAACAGTATATTCTAAGTTAGAAGAAAGAAAACTAAAGGAAATAAGGCTGTACACAAATGTTTAGCTATCCTTTGTGCAGTGAAGATGATCTTGTTACTATGTAAATTAATGGATCATTTGAACAAGTCTCATAAATTGCAGATATAAAACAAAGAACACTGCAAGTATCATAAAATATATGGAAGTGCTGATTAAACACAGAGAAAAGGTTCACTTAGGATATATGGAAAAGTACAGAGTAGAAGAACACTGTCTTATGTGATGGTGCACTTTAAAATCTAAGACATTTTCATTTGCTCAGTAAGATGCAAGAAAACTGTATTTTATAAGTTTGATCTTAAAACTGAACAAAAGGCCTGAGCCAAGGTTTGTTGTTGAAAATGAACAATAGCACCCACAGGGAATAAAGGATGGCTTACTTCAAAGTCTCAAGCAGAAGAGACCGTGCATTTGAGAAGTGTGTTGCTAAGAGATTTTTCTATGCCACTGATTGTGGGCTCCAAGGAGATGCTTTTACTGTATGTTTGAAAAAAAAAGGTTGAAGTAATGACATTCAGCAAAATACAGGTGTTCACTGAAATCATCTTAGCTGCTGCCTTTCTGAAAAGAGGCTAACTACCTCTTGGGAAAAAAAGGTATACAGATAATTATTAACATACACAGAACTGACTATCCCCAGGCTCTAGCCAGCGCGGGAAATGCTACCTTCCAGACAGGTGAGCCTGTTGGTACCAAGTCTGCACACAGTACTTAAGAAACTAACAAACTTGAGTACAGCTTGATGTTTTCTCACCTGCTCTGTTCTCATGCAGGATCCTTCATCTCTGGTGATGTCCCTTGCCTCATTGTGTGGTAATGTATTATTGGATTATGCTCTTATTTGCTCTGCTTATATAATAAACTTACTTTCATCTTTTTAAAATCATCATGTGGCTTTTTTTCTGTTTGTGTCAATCTGAACCTCAAATTTCTGTATGTGGCTTCTTGCTGTTACAATATGGCCAATACTGTCATGGTGCCATGGTGAGTTCTGTGACATTTCTCAAAAAGTAGAAAGCAGCTGGAAACAAGTCACTCAGCTACTACTGGCTGTATCTGTTGCAACAGCTCAGTGTGCTTCCTAGTGTCTCAAGCACCCTGAGACATGCTGTCATGGTTTGTGTCAATGAGTCCCCAAAGCCTCATGTGGCTATAGACCTTCTTCAGAGGTCCATGAATGTACAGAGTGTGATGGTGGCATTAGAGTGTGTGGTTAGGAAGTCACTCTACTGATTTGTTTAGCATAGTTCTGGCTAGGCTTAAGGGTGTGAGTGCTACACCTGCCCAAGGGAGGGAAGTCGGCATAAAGCATAAGGGACAGCAAGACTCTTGCCTCCTCCCTGCTTGCTTGCTTTTGACAGGTGACAGCTGGTGGTAAAGAAAACACTAATCTGGGAATGTAGAGGAAGTAAACAGCTTCCCACAGACCTCTCCCACTATTGAAGCTTCCCAAACGCTATGTCACCATACATCTTCCACTCTACCCATCTAAGCACTCACCTGTGTTCACACTTGTGACACATTTCCACTCATTTCGGTTTCTGGATACTTTCACTTGGCCATCCACGCTCCAGGGCTCTCCCCCTACACCAACACGAAGACAACACTCAGGTCAAAGGAGAGATTCCTGCTTGGAAAAAGAAAGGCAAGTGATCTGTGGTGCCCTTTCCACACTCCAGTCCTCTTTACTTGAGATATGGACCATAGAGGGGCGTAGACCAATGTTTCACTGTTAAGTGGAGATACCTAATTCTATTCCAAGGACCAATGACTCAAAAGTACAAGGAAAAGAACAGGAAACTGACTATTTTAAAAGTCTGCTCTAAGCCATATTTCCAGTCTAAATCAACACTGACATATCTATCACAAGTCCAGATGCCATAATACAAAGTTTCACATTTCAGAGGCAATAGGCATCTGTCTTAGTCAAATACTGCAGAGGATTCTATGAAGACACAAGGGAAAAAGCAAAAAGACAAAGAGTACGTCGGACCTCCAGAAGGAGGCCATCCTCACCCAGGGAGACCAGGGTCCTGTAGTTCTCCAACATCACCTCCCTGTACAAAGTCCTCTGAGCAGGGTCCAGGCATTCCCACTCCTCCTGGGAGAATTCTACAGCGACATCTCTGAATGTCAAGAGATCCTGAAATGAGAAACATGTTCCATCACAGGGAAATGGAGGGAATTATAATCTCCCTATAAAATAAAAAGAGGAAATGTAAGGGCCAATTCAACTGAAGTGAGTGAGCTATAGCCATGCTCCGGATATATCTACATTTTGACTCTGGAGTGGCAAAGATGATTTTATACACCAATGATACAAATGGTGTCCCAAGTTCCTAGGTAACTTCAGGACAGGAGCTGGTCATCATGAAGACCTAGGAGGTACTAGACAGTCATTACATTCACTTCTCCCAAACCTGTGGGAAAGGGAGGAGTCTAAAGTTTTAACTGATCAGCAGTATTGGTGATATAACCAATCACAACTAATGAAGCTTCCAGAAAAACTCTAAAAAATAGGACTCAAAGGAGCAGTCAGATAGATAAATGTCTGGAGGCTTCTTCAAGGTGAAACATCCATAGAAGAAATGGGCACACCATGTTACTTATCCCACAGCTCATCCTGTGCATCTTTTTCATCTGAGCGTCCATCTTTTTAAATAAACTTTATAAGAAATACTGAGGGCAGGCGGTTCACTGATTTTCCTGAGCTGCTGTGGCAAATTCTTTGAACCCAAAATGGGGTTGTGAGGACAGGAATCCCCATTTCCAACTCACTATTCAGAACAATAGGCTGAAACTTGCACCCGCAGGTGTCCTCTGACATAGGGACACTTATGTGGGTACGAGATCTCAACAGTGGGATTTAGGCTATTTTTACATAGTGTCAGAATGAAAATGAATTACAGAGCATCCCCCACAGAAGTGCTTGTTTGGTGTGTAGATAAAAATCTTCATGCATCTGGAGTGAAAGTTTTCTATGTGGTGAAATCAAAGGAGGAAGTGAGTTTGTCTTTCTTATATATTCATAAAAGACAAAGCATTTTGAAGCTTGTATCTCTAGAACTGTGTTTCCTTATACCTTTACATGAGAGGTTGTAATATTCTACACCAAGTATAGATTTCTTATTTTGTGGGTAAAACTAGAAATGCACAAATAAAAAACTAGCACAGGTTTTCCGTAAGAAAAGTTATATTCAGTATCTACATGATCTACAGAATAAGGCATGTGTTCAGAAATGACAGTGCACAGCAGCTGAAAAGAAATATCAGAATCTAAAACTATGATAATGAAAGCAACAGTAACGGCTAAAGCTTCTGGACACTTCTTGGTACCGTATATTGTCCTAATTGCTTTACTTACATAATTTCATGGAAAAATGTAACAGCCCTCAGGAGAAATGTTTCTCTTTTAATATAGAGAAAACTGTGTTACGGACACTCATGGACTCCTTTAAGGTCAAAGAGTTAAAAATGGCACAGCACACACCTGAACCTACCTACCTACCTATCAACCTACCCTACCCTACCCTCTGTCTCTGTATTGCTCCCTTTCTTCTTTCAATAGGGCCTTGCTGATTTGCACCAGCTGGCCTTAAAATTATGATCCTTCTGCCTTGGCCTCCAGGGCAGATGGGACTGCACATGTGCTACAGCTTGCCCAGTCAAGGAATTTCTAAAGAGTTAACAAATTTCTATGAAGTCAAACTGAAAGAAGGCCATAAAAATGCATAAAATTCCACATAAAGGTACAAAAGCCCTTTGCTATGAATGATTGTGATCCATTTGAATAAAAATATGACTGAATTAGAAAACATACAGTGCTGGACGTGGTCGCGTAGGCCTATAGTCCCAGCACTCAGGAGGTTGAGGCAAGAGGACTGCTACAAGTTTGAGGCCAGCCTGGGCTAACAGAGTTCAAGGCCACCTGAACTACACAGTAAGAACCTGTCTTGAAAAAAAACCTAAAAACCAAAAAAACAAAAAACACCATATAATGACTGAAGAGAGGAAAAAAGAAACAATGTGCAATTACATGCTATAAACAAGGTTTCACTTTTGTTTAAAGGACTCATATAGGCCAAAAATGGAAAGATAGAAAAAGAAATCCAAATGGAAACCCACAGAGGGCACGGGTGGCTACTTATATATTTTAACACATAGTCTTTAAGATACAAACTGTCATAAGATAAAAAAAAAAAAATGACTTTACATTACTACAAAAGGGGCAGTTCTGCAGGAGATATGATAATTACAAGCACGAACCCAACATTAACCCTCTCCAAAGGACAACATAAACACTGATAGAATTAGATGGCAGCAGGATATTTGGGGGACACTTCATGCTCCATATAACTTATGGACAGAATAACCAAACAGAGGATCAAGCACTGAACAGAAGGCTTCAAAATAATGCACAGCACATAAACCTCACAGACCTGAACAGAACATTCTACCCAACAGCAGCAGAAACCACTACCTCTAAAACACACAGCTATTTGATAGGCCATCAATTAGCTTAAAACAAACCTTTAAGAATCTTGATATCATTTTAATTTTTTTGTGCACAATGGAGTAAGTGTACAATTTAACAGCTGAAGACATACAAAACCCCACAAATATGTGAAAAGTAAACTCCCTCTGACACAGCCAGCAGAAAAAGATTTTAGAAAACATTGATGGCAAAAGAAAAATGAAAACAAATGTGCTAAAACTTAGTGAATGTAGTAAAAGCAACGGCAAATAGTCTAAAGTAGTGTCTCAGTTACTTTTTTATCATTGCTGGTACAAAATACCCGACACTCAAAATTAAGGAAGGAGAGGTGTATTTAGCTAACAGTTTGTGGAGGTTTCAGTCTATACTTGGCTAACTCCAAGGTAGCATGGTACATGGCTGAGGGCAGCAGTTCATGGCAGAAAACAGCACAGAGTAAGAGCCAAAGGGGAGCAGCAGCCAGTAAGTGTTTCTCCCTTCCTTATGTTGTATGCTGATTACCCACCCAGGGCAGGTGTAGCACTCACACCCATAATACTAGCAGCACTCATACCCGTAATCCCTTCCTTGGATCATGAATTAGTCACAAACTCCAGAATCCTACCCCACTGAATGTGTGAGGCTTTGGGGGGACAACTAGACACAAACTATAACAGGTAGTAAAACTTTATGCCCAGAATAAAGGATAAACTCATAGCAATAAACTTTACATCTCAAAGAAGAAGAAGAAGAAAAAAACACAAGGAAAAATTGAGTAGTGGAGATACATAAGACACAGGGGACACACTAGTCAACAAAATACTAACTTTCTGAACAAAAAACATGGCGAGTACTTTTCAGAATCATGACCAATGGAACTTCCTGACATGAAACAATGGAACTCCCTTGGCTCACAGATATGGATGGAGTCTTAGTGGAGACTACGAAGGCTACAGCACTTGTGTGAGAAGTAAAAACAGCAAGATTATAGGAAGTTAGTGGTCCTGGGTCAGATACTTCATAAAGGACAGAGACACTGAAAAGCAAATGAGAACATCACTTTACCTGAGTAACAGCCATTTTCGAACCTTTTTGCTTCCTCTTCCAGGCTTCTTCCCTATGTAACAAGAATCAAAAACATAATTAAATGCTCAGTTTGAACACATCCTCTTGCGGCAACACAGCTACACACACAAAAGAGAAACAACATATGGAAAGATGGGTCTTGTGCTGTCCAGTGTACTGAGGTGGGGATGTTGTGGTATGAAACTCCTACAAAAAGCAGAAGAGACTTTCTCGATGTTGTTCAGAGTGTGCTCTCTTCCCAGTGAAGGCCCAAAAACTGGCAGCAGTGGAGAGCCTGGCTGCACTGAGTTCTCCTTTAGGACATTGTCCTAGCTCTGATCAAACCCATTCCCACCACTTCCCCCTCATTCCTCCAAGAATCACAAGCTGATCCTGTCCCTTAGAAATGTAGGACAGTCTGAATAGCCACTACCGCACACAGAATAGAATCAATCTTAAATATTAATAAGGATGAGTCCTATGCTGACCATGGGAATGGCACTCTGGTAAGGAGCCATAGCAGTTATTTGCACAATACCTCAGCACTCCAAGAGGAGCCTAAGGTTGAGCACCACCCAGTAGGGCAAGCCCAGCCCCCCTCCCACCATCCTGCTCTGGGCTCCCTTTGGAGTCTTGTCCTGAGGATTCAGAGAGAGGACTGGGGAGATTAGAAAGAACTTGGCAAAAGAGCAGGCAACATGGACCAGAGGTGGGAGTGAAGATGTGATTAGGATGTCAGTGGAAGGTAGAAACCAAAGAAGTCTCCATTGAAACATTGATATCAGAACAAAGGCTTGAGAAGGAAGGTATATGCCATCTGCAGCTGACAGGCCAGTGAGTTTTAAGCAGAGATAGAATCCCAAGGAAGTCCTCAGCCAGGAACTACAGCAGCCCCAGGATGTGTGGCTGGAATAGAGTGAGCACAGCAGATACTGCAGGTGACAAAGGAGCCAGGTTACTTCTGGAAGCACAGCAGGTGTGGCTGACACACCTAATATTTTTCTCCCACATCTGAAATGAATTTCGAAAATAACAGGCTTTGTCATCACCTTTATAAAGATGTGATTTTTCTATTTTACATAAAATACTTACAAATATTATAACACATCCTATATTTAAAACATACATTATGTGCAAGTATTCAGCTAAGCCCCAGAAGTGCAGGGTAACCCCTACCTGAGACAGTGGGGACTACAAAGGAAGTTATTTACAGAACTTAGGAATCACATGGGGACTATGAAGGAAGTGGTATCTGTCAGATGTCCCAGCAAATTTGAGGTGATATAGGGACATACGACTCTCGGAAAGGTCTACAGGGACAATGAACACATGAGTATGGTATCAAAGCCATGCAGGAGGTAATAAAGAAAAGCAATGGATATTGTCAAGAAGTTCAAGGCTAAAGTCTTGGACAGCATCACATTCAGTAGACAGCGTCAGGAGACACCAGCAGAGGACACACGTTGCTGTCTGCCATGGCTGTGAATCACCTCTGATCTCCTGCTCTGAGCTGTTTCCTTTTCTGGCTCTATCCCCTATTTTGGGGGTTCTCATCTCTGCCGATCAATACTCACTTTTTCTCCCTTGCTACCTTCTTGGCTTCTTTCTACTCTTGGTTCTTTGGAATCGCTCACCTGTGCTCTACCTTTCCATCTGTTCACGGGTGTTTATTTCCTGATCCCTTTGCCCATTTTTGCTCACAGGGAGGGGATAGACGAGCAGCCCTCTCTGGAGGAGCACATTTCTCCCTGGGTGGAATTCGGGAAGCAAGAATCCTAAAGTCACAGGACAAGTCCAGGTCTCTGAAAGAGGAAGCCTGAAAGGGGCGCTGGCGTGGGGGTGGGCGCAGCCCCGGAGGGGAGGGGCGGGCGAGGCCGGGTCCCCTCCCGGGGGGTCCAGAGACTGGGACCGAGGTAAGGACGCGGTGGAGGAGGGAGGCATCGAAGGCCCAGGCGGGACGGACAAGCCCTTCCTCGAGCACCTCCGCTCTGCAGGGCCCATGCGGGGGGGGGGGGGGGGTGTCTCACAGCGCTGTCTAATTTGCCAGGAGAGGGGCGGGCGGGGCCTTGAAGGTCCCTAGAGACCCAGATCCGGACAAGGAGGCGCTGGGACAGCGAAGCAGAGCGCAGACAACCGGGACAGAGGGACACTCACTCGCCGCGACCGTATCCTCGCTTCACAGGACCCACTTCCGGGTCTGCAGGAAACTGCGCGCGCAGCCCAAAAGCCCAGAGTGGGCGGGGCAGCACGCAGGGGCGGGGCCGTCGGTGGGCGTGACCGTCGGCTGGCGGGGCCTCGGAGGGGCGTGGCCGTCGGTGGGCGTGGTCATCGGCGGGAGGGACCCTCGGCGGGCGGGACCTCGGCGGGCAGGCCTACGCTCCGCAGGTGAGGTTCTGGCTGAGTTGCTTCTTCCCTAGCGATCAGACCTGTGCTGGGCGCTGCGCTGAGTGACTGCGGCGTGGACGTGGGATCTCCTTGAAGGAAGCCGCACGGCCTCTGTGCCCCCCAGTTCTTGCTGTTAAAATTATTTCTGGCGATTTCATTTAAAATCCCCCCCACTGCCCTGCAGATTGCAAACTAGATGAGCTGGAAACCGTGCCCGGCCGCGCATGCTCTTTCACGACCTGGCGCTGGGCGGTGGTGTCCGGTGGGTGTCGCGCGCCTGGAAGCTCTTTCCGCGGTGGGGGAGGAATCTGTATTCCAGCAGCTGGGAGCTTCCTGGGGAGGAAGGCAGAACCCACAGGGAAGGGGAGAAGGGGAAGGACAGGGGGCCAGGGAGAGCAGGCAGACCTGGAGTAGGCGACGCTGGGCAGGTGGAATCCGGACCCCAAAGACAAGACTCTTAGTGCTGGGAGAGAGGAGGGTGCAGTGAGCAGGAGAGCAGGGGCCAAGCGGGGAGGGGAGACCAGATTGAAGGAAGCTTTAGTTAAAGCTTCTCTTATAGCAAAGTGTTTCTCCACAAAGCCTCCAGTGTCATAGATGTGGCTTTAGGAAGGAGAGTGAACCAAGGCACAGCTGAAGCTAAATGTGATGTCAAGGGAGAGGGGTCAGTAGATGTTTCTGTTACTTTTTCTCATTGGCGGGGCCATAGACCCAACACCCAAAATTAAGAAAGGAAAGGTTTGCTTAGCTTACAGTTAGTGGATGTTTCAGTCCATGCTCAGCTGGCTCCGAGGCAGAAAACAAGCAAAGAGCAAAGGGAGGAGCCGCAGCTGTGGCAGCTAGCAAGCCTCCCTCCCTCCCTTCCTTATATTGTATGCAGATCACCCATAATCCCAGCATTAGATCATGAATTAATCACAAACTCTAGAAGCCTTCCTCAATAACTGCATGAAGCTTTTGGGGGGAGACAAGTACGCACAAACCATAACAGTAGGTCTTGCCTCCCCCTGGGACTGCCCACTTCTCTCTCTGCTTCTCCTCTGCCAAGCCTCACTGCCTGCTGTTTCTTCTTTGGAGCCAGCTGACTGTGGACTGAAGCGTGATCCTAAACGATTCTGTCCTGCATGGTCCTGTGTATCTCTGTTGTGTCGTGAAGGAAAAATGACTGAGATAGGTTCTCTTCCTCAGCAGCTCTAGAAATTCAGAGACGGCTGCAAGGAAAGAAAGAGCTTTTGCTATCACTGGCAGGTTGGAAGCTGAGGGTTTGTCATCTTGCTCTGAGGCTGCCATTGCAGTGTATATGTGGAAGTTTGAGGGAGGTATAGGTTTACTTTCAAACACGTGGGATGGGCCCTCGGTTGGTGTAATTTCCATGGTTTGCTTTCTCCCCCACTTGATGTCAATTCCTGATGATTAATGTTCTGAGTGCTATTAGCAACAAGTTACTGATAAGGTTTTTTTTTTTTAATCCAGAAACTATAACCTTGCAATTGATCATTAGGATAGACTAAAAGGGGTGGAGAAACAGCTTTGGCCAGAAACAGAATTAACCCAAGAAGCCTCTTCATGAGGAGTCGCCTTCAGCAAAACTAGCAGGAGACTAATTACAGATTGCTTAGCTACCTCATCTCCAAAACTTGTGTGCTTGAGAGTCAGAGAAGTGAAGCTGCAGTGTTTGTCTAGTCTTTCCCCAGGTTTCAGAATGTAAAATTATCAGGGAAAAAAAGATAAGTGGAAAGCCAAGCAGCAATGTGTGAATTAAAGAACAGTCAGAAAATTTGAGGAGAAAGAACAGGGTTAAACAGTTTGCCCCAGAAAAACTGGGGCTGAAACTCCTGATAAGAAGAAATGTGGAGGTGGGGCAACAAGGAAAAACAGAAGTGGTCAGAAATCTAGAAAGAACTATAGAAAGTGGTGGGGAAAGAGCAAGGGGTGACGAAACTAGACCTAATGAGGTTTGGATTGATTATACATGGGAAGTTAACTTGTAAAATACTACTTTTGGCTGTATAATGTTAATAATATAAAATGCAGATAATCCTCTGTTATATGTGCAAAAAGAAATTGTATAACTAGTGGCATGAAACTTCTGAATTTCCAGGTATTTCTCTCAGAAGATCATATCCAACCCCTGTTCAGCCATGAGTGACCCAGTTCAGTGCATTGAAGTCCATCCTGTTGCCTTTCCCAGTGCTGGGAGAGAGAAAGTGCTACAGAGGAGAAAGTAACTGTCATCACAGGGTCCTTTTGAGGGGAATACCAACAGTATTATACTCCCTCCACCCTGCCAGTGGAAACTTGTGTTTCCTTTACTTTTAATTCACTGTTTTCATGATTATTGACTGTTTACTTTTGTTTTTCTGTAAAACTGCAATTGCTGAAATGATATTGGTACTGTCTCTTAATTACATCCTTTAAAAGGATGTCTCATATCATCCTTTTAAACCGACATACCTTCAAATTTGTTGTCTTTTTTTAACCTTAAAACTCATTGCTTTTTGGGCAGCGGGGATAGCTCAGTAGACTAAGCGCTTGCCAGGCAAGTGCAAGGGCCTGAGTTTAATCCCTGGTTCCACAAAAGAAAAAAAAATACAAAACCCCAACTCATTGCTTTTTAAAAACATCCAAATTACTTTCAGGATACAGTTGTGCAGAATATACAGTCCAATTCCAAAAGGGATGAGTGGAAATAGATCTAAATCTGAACCATATTGCAAAAATCTTGCCTTTGAATATATGAGGCTTTGTGATGACACAAGCTAAGCCCTAACAACCTTGTAATTCTGTTTGAAATTTATTTACTTATTTGTTTATTTGGTACAGGGTCCCACTGTGCAGCTTGGCTTTGTAGTGATCCTCCTCTTTTTTATTCTTTTTTTGCATTTTAAGACAGGGTCTACAGGGTCTACAGGGTTTCACTGCGAAGATCAAATTGGACTTGTAGTGATCCTCCTGTTTACATCCTCCTAAGTGCTGGGATTACAGGAATGCACCACCACTCTCAGTCTCAGTTGCTGTCTCAGGGCGCCCCAGGGGTGGGGCTGGCAGGCAGGCCCAGGGTTCAAACTCCCAGCCCCTGCATCTGCCAAGCAGGTGCTTTTAATCTGCTGAGCTATTTGGCCGGCCCTTGTAATGATCCTCCTGTCTCAGCCTCTCCAACTCTAGGAATACAGGCATGTCCCACCACATCCGGTTCTGTGGCCGGCAGGGTATGTGATACTGGGAATCCAACCCAGGCCCTTGCACTTGCAGGGCAGGCACTTAGACTGCTGAGCTATCTCTCCTGTTCACAACCTTGTAATTTTTCAAAAAGAGGCCAAACACAAATGCTGGAATAAAAATATAGCCTCTTGGATGAATGATGATGGGAAGACTGGACATCCATGCACAAATACCAAAACTGGATTAGTTTTTACTCTGTACAAGAATTAATTAAGCAAGGATAAATTTCAGACTCAAGAATGAAACTACTATAACAAAATGTAGGGTAATCACTTAGAGTCCTAGACATAGGTAAAGATACTGGACTGGCATAAGACTCCAGTTTCTCTGAAAATATAACAAGAATTAAGATGCACCTGTTTCACAATGAAAATCCTTTACATAACAATAAAACAAAGTGGTGAGACAGGCTATAGAATGGTAGAAAATCTGGGCAGTTACTTAATATCTAGAACATAAAAAAACCTAACCCCTCCCCCAGCAATTAAGCCAATGAGTAAATAAATGAGTGAGCTGAACTGGCATTTCTCAAAAGATGTAACAAATAGCCAGTACATATATTAAAAATTTTTCATTATCTTTAACCTTCATGGAAATGGAATTGCTAGTTGTGTTGGTAACTCACTACTATTATGGACTATTGGACTATATTGGGTTATTTTGCTGTATTCAAGTACCTACAATATTTGGACTGACATTAAGTATGAAAAGGTCCTTTACAGACTTCTCCCAATACAGCTTCTATAACTGCAATGGAACACCCATCTCTGACAAAACAAAAAAGGGGGATATAAATAAAGGACCATTTTTTTTAAAGCCTTTATTAATTTAGTGTGTGTGTGTGTGTGTGTGTGTGTGGCCAGCTCAG